CCAAATGGAACTTCCTCCCCTATTTGGCTTGGCTAGAAGATGTGGATGACTTGAGGAGAGTGGCAAGATAGGTCGGCTTGCATAGGAGATCTTCAGTTCCATCTGCTTGTGCCTAAATTGTGTTGCATGTGCAAACACATGTGGTTTGACCTCATTTGGGCAGGAGTTTGTGTGGAAGGAGAGGAAGCTGGGTACAGCAGGCATAAAACATCATCAAGACGTATGAATGCATGGTTAACTGTAATTTGGATGCTTACTTGGAAGTAATCCAAAGACGTTTTGCCAAGCTTTTGGCATACCATTTGAAGAAGACCTCTTAGAAAGTTTTGTCCAACATCCCATGGAATGTAAACAAAGCCCAGGAACTCCAATGTGCTTGCACCATTTTCCAGAACATTTTAATCTTATTTGTTGTGTTCACTTAATTTTCTAGAAATACATCTATTGTCTTCTTGAGGAACTGTAAATAATCTATGATAGCAAGGTGTAGAGTTGGATGAACACAGCAGGCCAAGCAGTATCAGAGGAGCAGGAAGGCTGACGTTTTGGGCCTAGACCCTTCTTCAGAAAACCTCTAGGCCTGAAATGTCAACCTTCCTGCTCCTCTGATGCTGCTTGGCCTGCTGTGTTCATCCAGTTCCACACCTTGCTATCTCAGATTCTCCAGCATCTGCAGTTCCTACTATCTCTGTAAATAATCTATCTTCACTGCCTTCTCTCGAATACTGCTCCACAGGTTAATCACCCTCTGGGTAAAGTAAAACTTCCAGACATTCAACTTCATCCCCTGCCACCTAAGTTTGGATTGGTGAACCTTAGCTATCTAAGTTTAAAACACTTTATCTACCAGCATCATATTCATTTCTTTAATAATCTTATACTTTTAATCATATTCTCTCACATTTGCTTCTCCTAAGATGTCAAGCCCATTAGTAGTTATCCTTATTGGTCTATTCTGCAGCTTCTTCAGAATCAATTCCAGTTTTCATTAGCGATGATCAAAACTGGACACAGTTAAATATCAGTGTAATCCAACCTAGAACTCTACTTGTTTTCATAGCCTGCTAAACTGAGCTTGCACCTTGATGACTAGATAAACATACTCATTCTTAGTTACCCCACCAGAAATTGATCCATGTTCTACACCATGGTCTTAGTTGTTTACCTTTGTACATATCTGAACATTCATCTAAATCAAAAGACATTTGCTAGTCTTGAGGCCCAATTTCCCAATTGATCTAACCTTGGGTACACTTTGGTGATTTGTTTCAATTCACTTATCATCATAATTCTAATCTCATCTGTTGATTGATCGGCTTTCTTTTGTGCCGCAAGTTTTCTGTTTCTCTTTGCTCCAAGTTCCTTTGTACAAAAGACTGTTAGGTAATCTGCAAATTTAACTGATGACTTTGTCCCCTTCCAGATCCTGAATAAATAATGAAGCAAAGGACCTTCAACATCCCTAAGGTGTCCCATTCGGGTCTATGTTCATTGGAAAGCAAACCCTCTAAAAAATTACCATTTTCTGATTCATTAGCCTTTTTCTTTATCTCCTGAGCGAAGAGTTCTAATTTCTTGATGCAAGGTGAAAGAGTAGCTGATCCATGATTCAGTGAGGGTAATTACCTTGATGGAGTTATCCAGTGGAAGTCATGAACCTTGGTCACAAAATAATGAATATTTTGAATTGGATAGAAATGAAAGGCAGTCATTGTGGTAATTTGGGTAATCTGTAGAGGAAGGAGAAAAGTAAGAACACAAAAAATGGAAGCAGGAGTAGGCCATTCAGCCCCTCAAGCCTGACCCACCATTCAACAAGGCCATGGCTGGTCTGTCCCAGGCCTCATGCCAGTTTACCATTGGTGTCAACTTCCTGATATTTCAAAAATCCATCTATCTCCTCTTTAAATATTTTCAGTGATCCAGCATCCACAAGTTTCTGGGATAGAGAATTGCAGACATTCACTACCTTGTAAGAGAAGAAAGTCACTCACTTTCTTAAAGGCGTATCCCCTAGTTCAAGATTCCCTCAATAGTGCAAACATCTTATTGACATATACCCTGTCAAACCCCCTCAGACTCTGTTTGCTTTATGTTTCAATAGGATCACTCATCATTTTTCTAAACTATAATGGATACAGGCCTAACTGTTTAGCTGTTCTTGATAAGTCAACCCCTTTAACCCAGGAGTCAGTGTAGCAAATGACTTTTGAACTGCCTTCAATGCCAGTATATCCGTCCTTTAAATATAGGGATTGAAACAGTACATGGTACTCCTGTACAGTTGTCAAGGTTTGCCTGTTTTTAAACACCAACCCTCTAGCAGTAAAGGACAAAATTCAATTTGTCTTCTTAATTACTTGATGCGCCTGCATACGAACATTTTGTTTAATAAACAAGAACATCCTAATCCCTCTGTGCTCCAGAGTGTGTTTTTTTTGGACTCCCTCTCCATTTAAAAAGTGATCTGCATTTTGATTCTTCCTACCAAAGTCACACTTTCCTACATGAAAATCCACCTGCCAAGTTTTAGCCCACTCACTCAACCTATCTATATGCCTTTACAGATACCTTCTGTTCTCATTGCAACATACCTTCCCACCTATTTTTGTATCATAAACATGTTTTGGATATATTACTCTCTGCCCCTCTGTCATTTAATACATTTAGTCAATAAAGTTCTTGAACTGATCATTCTGGTACTCCACTAGTTCCACTATTCAAACATATAAAAGACCCAGTAAGCCCAATTCTGTCTTCTGTGGGTCCTCAATCCATGCTACTCACCCCAATACCATGTGTCAGTTCGTAACGACTATTTCGTAACG